TGCTTCTGGACAACCAGTGGCGACGTTTCCAAGCCACCCAACCATGCGCACCCCCACCTAGACCCCCATTTCCGCCAGCTCAACCTCCGCTGACCACGACCCCATCCCAGGCCCGACCCGCACAGACCCCCCCATGACCTGCTCCCGCACCTCCGCCCCCCACCCCAGCAGCCCGTCCTACACCAGGGACAGGCCCCCAGCCGATGGATCTCAACAGGTCAAGGACTGACCAGAGGCAGTGCTACAATTGTAACACCCCAGGTCATCTCGCGCAAGAATGCCCACACCCCAGGGCCAGCCGAGTACGACGTCTCCACCCGGAAGACCTGAGAACACTGATGGAAGGGCTGAAGAGACAGTTAACTGAAGGGACAGAGACAGTGGAGGGGGAACCAGAGGAAGAACCTCAGAGGGATTTTCAGGCAGGCGACTGGTAAGGGATGCGTCCCGGCCGCCTGTAGAAGATAGCTCATGTAAATACCGCAGCGTGCGTAAGCCAATGCCAATGCCAAAGTTTCACTGAGTCATCGCGAAGAAAAAGAGGAGAAACGCATCCTCCACCCATGAGAACGAGAAGACCCCAAGGGCAGTAACGCCCGAGGTAGCAGTCTCCCCCCCAGCCATTTACGTCCTTTCCAAGCAGTCCCCCAGATCCCTTAACCTCACAGTGAAACTGACCGCCCTAACCTCCCTCGCGTCGGTATCTGTATCAGCCCTCCTGGACTCAGGAGCCACTGGGAACTTCGTAAGCCCCAAGTTCGTCCGAAAGCACAACCTAGAGACAACCCCCCTCCCCCAGCCCGTTCCCGTCCGTAATGTCGATGGAACCCCAAACGAAAATGGAGCTATAACAGAAGAGCTAGAAGCCCTCCTGACCTTCGGGTGACACACAGAGCAGGCATGCTTCGTGGTTGCAAATCTCGGGCGACAGTCCCTCATCATAGGACACTCGTGGTTGCTGCACCACAACCCAGAAGTGGACTGGGTATGACAGAAAGTCGTCATGTCCCGCTGCCCGTCCTCCTGCAGACAACCGTGAATACGAGATGATCAGGACCCGGTACTGGAGCCTGGGGATGGGATCTACGCTGCTATCATTCCCCCAAGCTGGGGCCATGACCTGAGAGCCACCACGACCCCCTCGCAGCGGATGGCCCAGGAGGCCCGCGACCCGGAGGCTGAGCCTGCGTCGTTTGAGATGCTAGTACCAGAGCACTACCAGGACTTCCGGGACGTGTTCTCCAAAGAAGCCTTTGACCAATTGCCCCCCGGAAGCCCTGGGACCATGCTATAGACCTGGTACCGGATGCCAAACTGCCCAGGGGGAAGACCTTCCCACTCTCGCGCCCGGAACAGAAAGAGTTGGACGAGTTCCTACACGAGAACCTACAGAATGGGCGCATACAGCTGTCCAAATCCCCCATGGGAGCACCAGTCTTCTTTGTCAAGAAGAAGGATGGGTCCCTATGCCTGGTCCAGGACTACAGGAAGCTGAACGAGATCACGGTGAAGAACTCGTACCCGCTCCCCCTCATCTCGGATGTCCTCGCCCGCCTCCGCAACGCCAAATACTTCTCAGCCTTGGACCTACGCTGGGGGTTTAACAACATCCAGATCAAGGACGGAGACGAGTGGAAGGCGGCATTCGCGACCAACCGGGGGCTGTTCAAGCCCATGGTGATGTTCTTCGGCCTGTGTAACTCCCCAGCAACCTTCCAGACCATGATGAATGACATCCTGAGGGATTTCATCGACCGGGAGGTTGTCATCTGTTACATGGATGACATCCTGATCTTCACGGCCACCCTGGAGGAACATCAAAGGGTCGTCCGAGAAGTCCTAGAGACGCTGAGGAGAAGGAGGCTCTTCCTTAAGCCAGAGAAGTGTAAGTTTGAGCGAACCCGGATCGAGTATGTTATGGGGATGGGGGAAATTCCCCATTCCTCGATCCGTTCTTATAGTGGGATGACAAAGGTCATATCTGGTCTGTACCATAATGGGATATGTAATCGATGAGTGATCCCAGTCTTGCCTGGGAGTGGACGATCGAATTCCCATCGATCGCGATTGGTGATGTAGTGAGCTATTAAGGGATTGATGGTAGGTAGTCGGAGATGCCAGGATGGACGGGTCAGCCATGGGTACTTGGCACTCCTCAATGGAGCGTACCGTGTGCAAGGTCGCGACTTGTGAGATGGGTGAGAACTTCGTATAGTCGCCATCGGGTACTTGGCGTTCGCAGTGCGAACGTACTGGTAGCGGGTTGATATCATAAGCATGCAATGAGGACTGACTAATAGGGCCTTCGGTGACTTGGCGTTCCCAAAGGGAACGTACCATTGGCGGGGAAACATGATGACTGACGAAGGAGGGAACAGACGGTGGATGGGCGGCAACTTGGCGTTTGCGTAGCGAACGTGCCGGCATCACGGGAAAGTGGGCCTCAGAGTATTCACGATCTCCATGATCGTGATGTGACATCATATGTCGAGTACTGGGGGGAGAGCGGAGTGATGAGGACCCATAGGGTACAGATTCAATAGGACGATACACATGTCGAGAGTCTTCGACTCGTGACCTCGAGTTCTCACGGCGAGGGCCGTTAGAGGACTCGATATAACCAGACTTATAAGACATATTGAGAGTTGTACAATCACACGGGTTCAGTTGAGTCACAGGGAGGGTTGTTACAGAAGACGATACACGAGGCAGTTGTAGAGCAGTTGTTAGTTAGCGGGAACCGCCTTTGGCGGTTTCCATACAAGACGCGTGACTATCTACAAATGGTAAGGTCGCGGGAAATCCCGCGAAACACAAGTAACCTCAGCCAGCACCAAAACCCCAATGGGGAAAGCTTTGCACGAGGGGGGGAAAGGGGTAGAATGGGTAAGGAGGATAGGGTATCGGGATAGAGGACAGAAGGGAGAAAGAGGGGAGGAACGATAGAGAGGAGAAGTCTTTGACCATGCGACGGATATGGTCGTTGGAGACTCCATATCCGTAACAGAGTACCTGGGCCTCATTATCTCGGAGGGTAACGTCGTGATGGACCCGGTGAAGATCCAGGGTGTCCTCGACTGGCCCCCCCCAACCAAGGTGAAAGAAGTACAATCCTTCCTAGGATTCATAAACTTCTATCGCCGGTTCATCAGAGACTTCTCTGAGAAGGCCCGCCCCCTTCACAGGCTGACCCGGAAGACCCAAACCTGGAACTGGGGCCCGGATGAAGACGATGCCTTCCGTGCCCTCAAGGAAGCTGTCACCACAGCCCCCATCCTCTCTTTCCCTACCGACCACGGCCGCTTCAGGCTCGAGTGCGATGCATCCAACTTTGCAACCGGCACGGTCCTCTCCCAACTGCAACTGGATGGAGAGTTCCACCCAGTAGCATTCATGTCCAAAAGTTTCACGGATGTAGAGCGCAACTACAAAGTGTATGATAAAGAGATGCTTGCAATCATCTGAGCCCTCGAGGAATGGCGACACTTCGTGGAAGGTGCTGAGGAGAAAGTCGAGATCTACACCGACCACCGTAACCTGGGCTACTTCCGGACAGCCCAGAGGTTAAATCGACGCCAGGCCAGATGGTCCCTTTTCCTCTCCCGCTTCCATTTCACCCTCGTCCACTGCCCAGGGAAGCTCATGGGGAAACCAGACACACTCTCTCGCCACGCTGACCACCCGAAGGGAAGGGACAACAATGAGGGGCTGACCCTCCTCCAACCGGCCTGGTTCGAGACCCGTGCGACAGAAGCAGTCTCAGTGGAAGGTGAGGAGGCAGATATCCTAGAGAGGGTACGAGGAGTGAAAGATCATGACGAGCGGGTGGTGAAGGCCATGAGGGAACTGGGAGAAGGAACGTTAAGGTCGGACGAGTGGGAGAGACAGGGAGAGTTGGTCCTCTACCGAGGCAGGGTGTACGTTCCAAAAGACCCACAACTCCGCCACGATCTGGTACGGCTACACCACGACGCGCGGGCGACGGGACATCCAGGGTGATGGAAAACCCTGGAGCTCGTCTCCCACGACTACTGGTGGCCTTGGATGGCAGAATATGTCAGGCGATACGTACGTGGATGTGACACCTGTAACCGCGTCAAATCCTTCCCTGCACGGAAGGTTGGGAAGCTCACCCCAAATAAGGTCCCCACCCACCGTTGGCAGGTAATCTCGGTAGACATGGTGGGAGAGCTCCCAGAGTCAAAAGGTTATAACGCCATCCTAGTTGTAGTGGACCGTCTGTCCAAACGCATCCACGCGATCCCCACCGTGACATCCGTGGACTCGGCTGGTATCGCCCGGCTCTTCCTAGAGCATGTCTGGAAGCACCACAGGCTCCCGGAAGAGATCCTTAGCGACAGAGGGAGCGCCTTCGTCTCGCACTTCTCAAAAGAACTTGCAGATCTCCTGGGGGTCAAGCTAACCCCCTCAACGCCCTACCACCCCCAGACTGACGGACAGACAGAGCGGGTTAACCAGGAAATCGAAGCCTATCTCCGGGTGTTCGTCAACCACCACCAGGACGACTGGGCGGACTGGCTCCCACTGGCAGAATTTGCCTACAACAACCGTGTCCACTCGTCCACCCGTCGAACCCCCTTCGAGCTTGACACCAGGCAGCATCCCAGGATGGGGACGGAGCCCACACGTACGTCCGAGGTAGAAGCCGCTGACGCCTTCTCGTCCAGGATGATGAAGATGCAGGAAGAGGCGAAGGCGGCCCTGGAGCACGCAGCGGACGAGATGGCCCGCTACTATTGTTACAGGGATGGGGGAAATTCCCCATTCCTCGATCCGTTCTTATAGTGGGATGAGTGAGGTCATATCTGGTCTGTACCATAACAGGATATGTAATTGATGAGTGATCCCAGTCTTGCCTGGGGGTGGACGATCGAGTTCCCATCGATCGCAATTGGTGATGTAGTGAGCTATTAAGGGATTGATGGTAGGTAGTCGGAGATGCCAGGATGGACGGGTCAGCCACGGGTACTTGGCGCTCCTCAATGGAGCGTACCGTGTGCGAGGTCGCGACTTGTGAGATGGGTGAGAACTTCATATAGTTGCTATCGGGTACTTGGCGTTGGCAGTGCGAACGTACCGGTAGCGGGTTGATGTCATAAGCGTGCGATGAGGACTGACTAGTAGGGCCTTCGGTGACTTGGCGTTCCCAAAGGGAACGTACCGTTGGCGGGGAAACATGATGACTGGCGAAGGAGGGAACAGACGGTGGATGGGCGGCGACTTGGCGTTCGCGTAGCGAACGTGCCGGCATCACGGGAAGATGGGCCTCAAAGTATTCACGATCTCCAAGATCGTGAGGTGACGTCGTATGTTGAGCACTGGGGGGAGAGCGGAGTGATGAAGACCCATAGGGTACAGATTCAGTAGGACGATACACATGTTGAGAGTCTTCGACTCTCGACCTCGAGCTCTCGCGGCGAGGGCCGTTAGAGGACTCAATATAACCAGACTTATAAGACATATTGAGAGTTGTACAGTCACACGGGTTCAGTTGAGTCTGTTATAGGAATGGACCTAGAATCTTATGGTCCGTGACTATGAACAATCAAACCCTTGGTCCCTGCACCTTTATTTCGCTGTCAAACCCCATGCCAAGCTTTCCCACTGGGTTTTGGTGCTGGCTGGGGAATTTGTTGAGTTTCAAGGGACTTCTCTTGACCATTGTGACTTTTATATTAGATAGTTAGAAGTCATATGATGTGTAAGGCAGATGCCGAAAAATGCTTTCTCATTATCGAATACATAACCCAAAAACCTTGTACCGCAATTGTAACATCCTCACCATTGTGCCACCACTGTAAACTCAACCTGTAACCTTGGAACCATGTCCACCTCCCTATTCATCCTCTCCATGACAAAACCGCAACGAGGAGGGCATTCCCACGCCCAACCTCCTGCTGCCCGCTCCCACCAGTCCACCGGGTGGTTGGGCAATCACTCCCATCCAACCAGAAGTTCCCTATCAGGAACTGTAGCCTATCCCACCTCCTTAGGAGAGGGATATGGTCCAGGCAGCTCCAGGATGCCTGGCCACACACCCGCGGGTCCCACTTCCCACGGTCACCCACTACCGTGCACTGGTCCACCAACCCGCTTTCCCCAACAACTCCCGCTACCGGTACGCTCCCATGAGCGCCAAGTCACCGATAGCCATCATCTGGGTGACTCCCTTTGGGAGTCCCAGTATCCCTCACTACCGGCACGCTCCATTGAGCGCCAAGTCACCGTTAGCCAAACACTCCCAGCACACCCGCTACCGGCACGCTCCCAGGAGCGCCAAGTCCCCGTTAGCAGACAGCCAGGTGGCTCCCTCAAGGAGCCCTCATCATACTCGCTACCGGTACGCTCCCAGGAGCGCCAAGTTACCGTTGGCCAACCCACAGGTTGTACTTCCGTACACTCTTCCTATTCCGCTCTCCCTCCGATGGCTACGCAGCCACCTCCATCAGTGAGTCGAACGGCTCAGGTTGGGTTCCCCGGAACCCATTCCCGTAACAGAGTCACAGGGAGGGTTGTTACAGAAGACGGTACACGAGACAGTTGTAGAGCAGTTGTTAGTTAGCGGGAACCGCCTTCGGTGGTTTCCATACAAGACGCGTGACTATCTACAAATGGTAAGGTCGTGGGAAATCCTGCGAAACACAAACAACCTCGGCCAGCACCAAAACCCCAATGGGGAAAGCTTTGCACGAGGGGGGGGGAAAGGGGTAGAACGGGTAAGGAGGATAGGGTAGCGGGATAGAGGACGGAAAGGAGAAAGAGGGGAGGAGCGATAGAGAGGGGAAGTCTTTGACCATGCGACGGATATGGTCGTTGGAGACTCCGTATCCGTAACAACTATGACCGGGGTTGAGAGACAGCCCCCAAGTACCAGGAGGGTGACCGAGTCTGGCTCAGCGCCCAAAACTATACGACTGACCGCCCGACCAAGAAGCTAGACCATAAGTGGCTAGGCCCCTTCAAAGTTGTCAAGGTCATCTCCCCGGCTGCTGTCAAGCTCCAGCTCACCGCACGGCAAAAGGGAATTCACCCAGTCATATCTGTGACGAACGTAAGACCCTACCGCCTGGACGAGATTGCAGAACGACCCCCCGACCCCCGCCCGGGCCCAGAACTCGTAGATGGAGAGGAGGAATATGAAGTGGAAAAAATACTGGACTCTAAGTGGTTACACCGGAAGCTCTGGTATTTAGTAAAGTTCGCGGGTTGGCCGAACTCAGAGAATGAATGGCTCCCCCAAGACCAACTAATCCATGCCCCTGACCGGATCAAGGAGGTCCACCAAACACACCCCCACACCCCAGGAAGGGAGAGAACGAACCCCCTGGCTGCTTCGAGGCGAAGCGGCTTAAGGAGGGGGTGATGTCAGGGCACACCCACCTGACCCAGGTCCACCCGGACCCACCTGGCCACACCACACCTGCTCCCCACTGTCTATCCCTCTCTGTCATGACCATGCATTCTGACCCAGATGCCAGCCCTTATTCTGTTTCCTTTTGTTTCATTTTGTCACCTGACCCATTCAGTTTCTTACTATATATATATGTATATTACATTATTATAACTTTAGTCTGAATATCGACATGGTTTGTCCCCCCTAACAAGGCAGCCCAAGCCACTTCGAAATGTGGGCACTGAGACAGTAGGTGGGCACAGCGCTCTCTTGGAGTCGCTGAGGCCGAAGCCCAACCCCGGAGCCTTGTCCCGCCAGTCGTCCCCGTTTGCTGACCCGTACCTAACACTCTCCCTCCTCCTTCCTCCCTCTCCTCCCAGTTCTTCCGAATGTAAGACCGCCATGCTTCGGAAGACCAGCGGCCAAGTGCTTGGATCGTAGACTCGGGTACTGCTTGTGAAGCTAAATGCGTAGCTCCTCCTGAACGGAAAGAATGACCGGAGAAATCTTTGGGAAGAACAGCATGTAGCTTCCGCAAAAACCAGGATCAAGAAGGTAATGATCCATCGCCACAAATCCAAAGATGAGGGAAAAAGGGAAAACGAGCGTCACGACTCTGAATATACCGATTGAAAAAGAATAGTGGGTCAAGTGGGAAAAGTCGAGATTGAATGACCACCAGACTCCCATAAAAACGAGGATCGGTTTTATGCGTGGGCAGTAAGAACTGGTATGCATCTACGGCATCACAACGAATAAACTCGACAGAGCGGCGTAGGGTGAGTTTTCGAAAGTTCAATTTCGTAGAATCGTCCGGAACCACTAACTCCCCAATCCTAAGTAGACCATGGAAGGCGGTGAAACATATCGCCAAGAATAACCGATCGTCGAACTCCGACGAAACAGCAAAGCGGTCAACAAGAAGATGGAGGTGGTGAGACTCAATCGGCAACTTCCGTTTGATCGGTTCCCCATCTGTCCGTTCTGCTCCCCGAAGGACACTAACGACAAGAGGATGCTTTCTGACAGCTCGGGCTCCCGGATAGAAAGGTTGGAGATGGTGGACAATTCCCGATAAGTACGAAATGATCGTTCGGATGGATAATGGTTTACCGGATCTGCCAGTCTGCTTTGCCATATAACAAATGAAAAAACTGATTGTTTCAGGAGTCGGTTCGATGTCGCGGGTATGGATGTCACAGAAGGTGATGTACGAATTAATACCGGATTGATATGCTGATCTCGTCGACGCGTCGAGAGCATTAGACAAATAAATCGCTTGTTGACTTCGAAGACGATCCACTGTCCACGGGGCACGCTTGGGCTGACGCGCCCGGGCACTCAAGAGTGATCTCATTCTCGCAACACCCCAAGCGATTCCCGCTGGGGTTTGAATAAAGCGATGTCAAGCCCAGGACGCAGTCGTCGGGCGGTATCGAAAAGTTGACGCGATAAGGCATCTGCAACGGTATTTTGGTCACCCGGTATGTGGACCACTCGTACGTCCATCCCAAAGTCCATCATGCTCTCAACCACCTTGAAAAGCAATAACACGTAGTTCGGTTGTGCTGCTAGAGAGTGAAAAATGTCGACAGTGTTCATCGAATCAGTCCGCAAAAGGATTCGTCGCGGTTTATCAGGTAGGTGAGCAGCCCACTCGATTGCCGAGACTACGGCTAACGCTTCGTTGAAAAAAGTGTCCCCAAAACGGAGATCCGACACCTCGATCGATGCGACAAACGCTAGGTCCAGAGTTGGCGACCAGAAAGCCAAACCAACATTTGAAGCATCGGATAAGAAGACCAGGTCTGCCTCCTGTTCACGCCATGATCGGGCATATAAGAAGTTGACTCCCGGCGAATTAGCGATCCGTCGGATAAACCATGACAAGTCTTGCAAAACCGACTTATTTAGCCGAATTGGAGCCAAGGCGAGCTTCTTACCCCGTATCTTAGCATACGAGGATTGAAGCGCGGGTCTAAGAAGAGGGTAAGCATTCAACGCCCAGTTGCAATACCCTAAAAGCCGCTGCCATTCTCGGAGTGGATGACGACGAAGCTTGCCGATGAGAAATAATTCTACATCTTCAATCAAACTCTTTCGTTTGTCGTCGGGCATGGTTATTGTCATCGAATCCAGGGAAACTTGAAGTCCTATTATGGTAAGTTGTCTCCCGTATTCTTGCTTCCTCTTCTCATGTGGAATTCCGAGGTCGTCGAAAAGCCTCAGTAAAGCAACCTGCTTCCTTGGGTACTGAGCATCGTAAGGAACATAAAACTCGAGTTCTTCCTGGGCGTCGAAAGAAAAAACGTCATCAACGTAATGAAGAAGATCAGGTATACTTTTTTCATGAATAGCAATCCAGAGAACGAGTGCGTAGAAGGTACACCAGATTGCGCCCGACGCACGGTTCCCAAAGACGCAACACCGATCGACATGATAATCCTTGTCAATCAATGTCGCTTGCCTCGCCTGCCATCTTGGATGGCACGGTAAGAGTCTATAGGCAGAACTCGCGTCCGATTTGAACAACCAAGCTGGCGCACGACCAAAACTCGCGTGAAAGGTGAGTAACTGCTTTCCCAAATCCTGGAGGTTGTCCGGCCTAAAAGACCCATCCTCAGGGGCTATCGCCGCATTCAAGGAAAAGCTCCCTGCGGTATGATCGTTGACGAGTCGAAACTTGGCCGATCCTGGTTTGGGGACTGCAAAGCAAGGCTGCGCAACCATTCCTGGTAACAAGGCCGATCCGAAAGACGGTGAATAACGACCTAGCGACATCTCGAGGTCCCGTTGCGATCTCATGAACGATTTCTTCTCTTCGTCCTTCTCTTCTCCAAGTCGCTGGTTGTCAAGCCCCCTCTTCGTTGAAACCAACAACCCCGGTTGCGCGCACGGCCAGAAACCTGATCGAAAACCTGAAACCACCGACTGTACTAACTCTCGGTTCGGATGATGCTGCAATAAATCGTCAAGCTTATCCGGTTTCACAGGCGTTACAATTTTGAAAAGCTCGGGATATTTCTCAATCGTTTCCGTCACCAAAAAATGGGCAAAGTCATCAACTG